ATACTCATGGGAGGGATTGAGTCCTTTAGACTGCTCGAGTTGTAGTTAGAGCCCCGGATAACATCGGGACATGGCAATGGAGGAGACCACTGAAGGATTTGTAGTGTGATAGCTGATGACATACAATAGCGTAGAAGACGAGTTAGGGAGTACTTAGTAGTCGAATGTAAGATGGGGGATGGCAAGTTATTCATCCGGCGAGCGTCAACACGTCAATTCAGAAATTTGCATAGAAGATGGAATTGACATTGTCTGGGGCTATTCATGCCTTCTTGAATGACTAGAAATTGTCTCATAACGGAATTCTACACCAAGTTTAATAGATCCAGTCATCAAGTAGCAGTGTATACAAGTGCTGTTCTAGCCTAAAACCAGTGAACTGAACAATCGTAAAAGATTACCCAACAGGAAGATAGAGGTGATGATTATTCTAAGGACTTTAGTAGAATGGAAAATGTGATGTATGAAAGAAGAGTGTAATTGGAATAAACGGGAATGAATGTATAGAATATAAGTCTATGTTGTGATTGTCATATTATAAGTTAATCTTATTATGTTCATCTTAAATATAATATATGTTGTATGGATTATATATGTTTTATATGTTCTGTATGTGTTATATGTGTTTATATATTTGTTTCATGTATATTATTTGGTTTAGAATTGATAAGTTTATTCATTCAATTTCATTCGCACAATTTTTATTTGTGTATTTTGCTTATTTATTTTGATTTGTAACTATTGTGTTGGTATTCATGATGAGTAATTTATCTGTATTTTGCTTATTTATTTTGATTTGTAACTATTGTGTTGGTATTCATGAATGGTAATTTATTTGTGTATTTCTCTTATTTATTTTGAGTTGTAACTATTGTGTTGCGGTAGCTATGATGAGTAAGTTATCTAAATTTATTTTTCTTATTTATTTTGATTTGTAATTATTGTGTTGGTATCTATGATGAGTAATTCATCGGTATTTATTTTTTTTATTTATTTTGATTTGTAACTATTGAGGTGGTATTTATAAAAGGGAAATAATTTTGAGTTTGAAAATTATTTCATGTATATTTTGCTTATTTATTTTGATTTGTAAATTGTATTGTTTTGTTGAAAAGAATATAGTGTAATGATTTTTGGTGTGTGAAATTATGATGTATGTATTTTGCTTATTTATTTTCAGTGTAAAAATTATTTGTGGGACAATCCATGTGGATTTTACAAAGATATTTTCTTTTCTTTTCTTTGCTAAAGATTTTTGGAAAATTACATAAGGAAAATTACATAAATAATGTTCATACTAGCTTCAACCATTACGTCCTTTTTAGGACGTAATTTTTTGTTATTTGAAGCCCCACTCTGGCTTTTGCCAGGGGCCGCAATATAGGCAGGTCATCATTATGGCCAAATGTCTGAACGCGGTTTCTGGGACCTCTCCACGGTGATCCTCATCCGCATGGTGGCACTTTGTGTCATCGGGTGTTTATCGCTTGTGTGATGTCCTGGTGGGGTAAAAAAATCCAATCCAATCCTAAGTAATGTTCATTGTTTGATTTGCAATCATTTTTGTTTTAGTATTCTCAAATTGCAATAATAATATTCTTCAGTTTTTGAAACTTAATCTGAAATCCATTACTTTTATTAAAGGTTTCAATGAGTTTAATATTAACTGAGTGTCCTATGTGCACTAAATGTAAATGTTAAAGTATATGTTAGACAATAATGCATTATAGGTAGATAACTGTGTAAACTAGTAGACTTTAAAATAACTGACAATTTAGTTTGGCAGTAAAATGAACTTATTTTAATTTTTTTTCTCTTTAAATTTTTTTTTTTTGGTTTCTAAATTTGACGATTGACAATTTAAATGAAAGTTAGATTGTACTTTTACAAGGGCACTCACATGAAAAGTTAATGATGTTGTAACTAATATTGCATATATGGCGACTACATTTGAGGAGTAGCACTATCCTTGGAGGATGGGAGTGTGTCCAACTGGCCACAGATTTGTTTACTGCCTATTTTGCACTGTGGGTCATATGGGGTGATTTGTGTCTTGGCCGGTACTGCGGATTCGCGGACACATTATACGACTGTAGGTCGGGGAGTCAGGTCATGACTCCTTTTCAAAAACCATGGACAACTCTTGTGGAGAGAGTCCATGACGCCCACTGTTATAAATCACGGTGTCGTTGGTTAAACGGCTTGGGAGTGTATACAGTGGCGTCTTACTTGCACAGTAAGTGAAGTAAGGTGTAATTGGGTCCCGGACGATTTGAGTGTCCACCCAAATTATTATTTATATCATTACCCATATGATTTGAAGGTGTAATGAGTAGTGACGTATTTTTGTCAAGGGCCGATACCATTTCTACCCATTAGGGAGGGGCTTACCCATTGAATGTATATACCCATTAAATATGTGCCAGATAGTTTGTCCTTAGGTGATTGACCCAAAAGTACATGACTTATTTTTTTTTTTTTTAGGTAACTAAATGTTGACGATAAAATTTAAAAAGATGACTGTACATGATGGCAGGTCATGCTTTGCTGATACTTGACTTTGTCAGGAAGTATCAGTTCAGAGGAAGGGTGAATGTCACAACCCTATCAAGTACAGTCAGTGTACCACACCGTAAGGTGGGGGTGTTGACATGACACCCCAGGGTTGACACAGAGGTCAGGGCCGTGACTGGTCAAGTCCGTTCTGTGATCGCACGGTGAAACCAGCGCTCAGGATAAAGCAAGAAAGACTGAACTGTGTTGTAGTAACACGATGACTGCTTTTGGGACTGAGCTGGTGAACGGGGAGAAGGGACATTCGGTGTGCGTCGGTCAGGAAGAGAGGACGTTTAGCAAGACAGTTATGTTATAGTATTAGAGTTAGGATATTTCTGTTAGTGACTGGATAGTTTAAGTTATAGTATTAAAGTTAGGATATATTTCTGTTAGTGACTGGATAGTTTATGTACAGTTTTGGGTTAGGATAGGATAGTTCTTGTGTAGAGTATTTATGTATATGTGCTGTGAGAGAGTGGCTAACCTTGACACTCTGACCCTGCACTAAGACAGAGACTGTGACAGTTTGATTGGGTCAGCGTGGCGATAGAAGAGAGCGTATCCTGCCGGGTTGTGGTTTGTACACCAGAAGATTGCCTGTCGCACGTACTGGGGACGAGGCGATTGTAAAGCCCGTTCAGCCAGAGGGTCCAGGCAATAGGTGGCCACAAGGCGGGAAGTCAACTGTCTATGTATTTGAACAAAGAAGACACAAACAATAGACTGCACAATTTATTGCCTGGCATATTTCGCTGTATCTCGTCAGGTGCATACTACAGTAACAAGAGAATAAATGAAGCAAATAGCTGAATCCTAGAAACTGAAACACAAATTCGAGTACATTCTACACTGTCTGTTTCACCAAGGTAACCTTAAGGAAACTACCATTTCTTTCTGCCTACAGAGATCCGGTTTTAACCGGTGGATCGCGGAAGCTTCCGCGTATCTGAGTAATCTACGGTTGACCGATTTGTAAATAATTCGAAATGCATCATCCCTGTTAATGATGTGCCCGGAATTTAGAATGTGGCACGCAATTGCTGATGATGGATTTTGTCGACCAGTCACCTGATTCGTTGTTGTTGAGGTGTTAGTGTTTTGCATTGCTTTTACCAACCATAATGGAATATGTTCAGCAACCCGTTTCTCCAGTCGTCGATCGGTTCTGCCCACATATGCAGCGTTACAGGTGCATTTAAATTGGTATAAACAGTTAGATCTGGCGTACGTCGAGACTGGTTCTTTTACAGGTGGCGTAGGAATCGTGGTGGTTTTGAATCTCATAACGGGCATGGCTGCGTAAAAGGTTTGACCGACTGCTGTTTTTGAGTCGGTCATATACACGTTGCATGACGTCATCTCCCCGAAACGTTAGATGTATATAAAACTTGTTTTTTTGGCACCGACATTTCTAAGGTAACTGGTTTAGGTGGCTGGCAATGGCACTTAATAAAACCACCTGGATATCCATTAGAAAGCAGTGTTTGTTTAATCGTTTCGAATTCAGCTTGTAGAGTTTCGCTGGAACAAATCTTTCTAGCACGGTGGAATAATGTCCTCACTAGACCACGTTTGTACTGCAAAGGTGCAAAACTGTTGAAATGGATGTACTGGCCTGTCCAAGTGTCTTTACGATAAACTGACCTTTCAATAGTGCCATTATCTCTACGTCTCATTAAAATGTCTAAAAAGGCCAAGGTGTTGCTACTTTCATGTTGTAAGGACACTGTGATGTTTTTGTGCATTTGGTTCATTTTTGTGTGAAACGACTCTGCCTGTTGTTTGTTTGTGGCGATGATGAGTATGTCATCAACGTAACGTCGGTTACTGTAGTATGCACCTGACGAGATACAGCGAAATATGCCAGGCAATAAATTGTGCAGTCTATTGTTTGTGTCTTCTTTGTTCAAATTCACATCGGGGAAACATTGCTTTGAATGTCTATGTATTACCTGTACTTCCAATAAAGATTGTCGTGTGTGCTCTGTGTGCGTTCGGGTTCAGTGTGTGTTAAAGGTTAGTCTGTCTGTCATAGGCCCAGTTACGAGCCACAGACCAGCAAGGTCACCCAGAGGTCTGTGACACAGAGGGAGACCGAGAGAAAAGATGCTGGGCAGTTCGACATCATGGCATGGAAGATCATCTGTGTCGGAGTTGACTGAAAGTACACGAGACAAAAGGTTGTGGATAGACATGACTACCAACGCCACACGGCATGGACTTTAAGAAGAAGGCAGTGTAAGTAGGGTAGCCTTGAGTCTGAGGAAATATGGCCACATAGCTAGTCCAGTAGTCATGAAGTATTCAAATTATAATTTTTTTTTTAAATCTTTGCCTTCGAAAAACAAAAACAACTTAAACCAGCAAATCGAGGTCTCCTCGATAAGTTCCCAGTATCAGCAACAACAATTACATTATAGTTACACCAAACATAAGTTACTGACCTCATCAAAAGGTATGCTATTCTCAACAACAATGTTTGGCCTGAAGTTGACTGGCGACACTGGAGTTGCCAGCTGGGAGTTTATATGACGCAGAGACTCTGTCGTTATCACCATGTAGGATGTCAGGTAAGCAAACACACTCTAGGGAAGAAAAAAACATTCACTGGCAAATACATGACATTATATTCTGGCCAACTTCATGTTTTCTGGGGCCGCTGTAGTGTAGCGTCTAGAGTATCAGCTGCGGATCTGAAGTGTATGGGTTCAAACCTAAAGGAAGCTATACATTTTTTTTTTAAATTTTGCCTTTAAAAAAAACCCAGAACCGTGGCTCCTGGGTCCACCCAGCCTTAAATATAGGTCTAGCACTATACACCCAATATATGCCTTAAAGTGTGGACAAGGGTCCTTTCGTGCTTTAGGTGTCAAACATGGACCATTATTGCAACTAATTAGTGCACATTTTTACCAACAGAAGTAAGATGTCTTAGAAGAGTACTGGAGTAACACAACGCGATAAAATTAAAAATGAACAAATTAAAAGACAAGACCAGTAAGTAACACAGTTAGCAAAGAGCAACAGATGACATGAACTTAGCGACCTGATGAGAATGCCCTGGTAACAAGTGCCACAGAGAGCCATACTGCAGGAATATAATTAACACAAAGCAAGGAGAAGACCACGGAAAATACGGAACAACACCAACAAGAATACCTTGTAGATATAATGATGATCAACTTTCAGAACACACCAAAAAGAGAAAACAGAAGATCGGTGCATCTTCTCTTAATACGCCGATGACGAAAATAAAGGAAGAGGAGGAAGAGAAGAAGAAAACGAAGAAGAAGAAGAAGAAGCAGAAGAAGAAGAAGAAGAAGAAGAAGAAGAAGAAGAAGAAGAAGAAGAAGAAGAAGAAGAAGAAGAAGAAGAAGAAGAAGAAGAAGAAGAAGAAGAAGAAGAAGAAGAAGAAGAAGAAGGAGAAGGAGAAGAAGAAGAAGAAGAAAAAGAAGAAGAAGAAGAAGAAGAAGAAGAAGAAGAAGAAGAAGAAGAAGAAGAAGAAGAAGAAGAAGAAGAAGAAGAAGAAGAAGAAGAAGAAGAAGAAGAAGAAGAAGAAGAAGCAATAGAAGAAGAAGAAGAAGAAGAAGAAGAAGAAGAAGAAGAAGAAGAAAGAAGAAGAAGAAGAAGAAGAAGAAGAAGAAGAAGAAGAAGAAGAAGAAGAAGAAGAAGAAGAAGAAGAAGAAGAAGAAGAAGAAGAAGAAGAAGGAGAAGGAGAAGAAGAAGAAGAAGAAGAAGAAGAAGAAGAAGAAGAAGAAGAGAAGAAGAAGAAGAAGAAGAAGAAGAAGAAGAAGAAGAAGAAGAAGAAGAAGAAGAAGAAGAAGAAGAAGAAGAAGAAGAAGAAGAAGAAGAAGAAGAAGAAGAAGAAGAAGAAGAAGAAGAAGAAGAAGAAGAAGAAGAAGAAGAAAAGAGGGGGAGGAGGAAGAAGAAGAAGAAGAAGCAGCAGCAGCAGCAGCAGAAGAAGAAGAAGAAGAAGAAGAAGAAGAAGAAGAAGAAGAAGAAGAAGAAGAAGAAGAAGAAGAAGAAGAAGAAGAAGAAGAAGAAGAAGAAGAAGACGACGACGAAGAAGAAGAAGAAGAAGAAGATGAAGAAGAAGAAGAAGAAGAAGAAGAAGAAGAAGAAGAAGAAGAAGAAGAAGAAGAAGAAGAAGAAGAAGAAGAAGAAGAAGAAGAAGAAGAAGAAGAAGAAGAAGAAGAAGAGGGGGAGGAGGAAAAAGAAGAAGAAGAAGAAGCAGAAGCAGCAGCAGAAGAAGAAGAAGAAGAAGAAGAAGAAGAAGAAGAAGAAGAAGAAGAAGAAGAAGAAGAAGAAGAAGAAGAAGAAGAAGAAGAAGAAGAAGAAGAAGAAGAAGAAGAAGAAGAAGAAGAAGAAGAAGAAGACGACGAAGAAGAAGAAGAAGAAGAAGAAGAAGAAGAAGAAGAAGAAGAAGAAGAAGAAGAAGAAGAAGAAGAAGAAGAAGAAGCAACAGCAGCACTAGCAGCAATTTTCTGTAATACAAAAAGTGGCTTTGTGGCTTCGATGTTAGCTTAATCCTCGATTGCTGAAACAAATCCATTCTTGCGGCTATCCGACAGCGTGAAGAGAGATGCACAGTGCAGGAGATCGGGGCATTACCACGTAATATTCGCAAAGACAACAGTGGCAACCTTTATTGTGGAAACGTCACATAGTTCGTCTTTTTACATAATGAAAAAAGAAAAGTTTATTCTTTTTGTTCTTCTTCGTATAGTCACGGCCATCTTTAGCTATAAATCTAGAGTTGGCGGTGGTATAGTCCATGCTATGTGGCGTTGATAGTCATGTCTATCCACAACCTTCTGTCTCGTTTATTGTCAAGGAATTCTGATACAGATGATCTTCCATGCCATGATGTCAAACTGTCTAGCATCTTCTGTCTCAGTCTCCCTCTGCCTCTCCTCCCCTCCAACTTTTCTACTGTCACGATGTACTCCAGTTTTTTTCTTCTCATCACATGACCAAAGAATGTAGATTGTCTCCTTTTGATGTGGGCAATCTCTTTTCGTGAGTCACTTTCTCTCAAGAAATCTTCATGACTTGTTCCCCTCTCTCCAGTGTATTCTCATCATTTGTCTATAAAAACCAAATCTCTGCAGCTTCCAAATAATTTTTATTAATCGACCAACTGTGGATGATTCACTTCCATATATCGGTATAGAATTTATATGGATTTTAAGAAGTCTCTATCTCGTTTAAACTGACAAAGAAATATTACAGAGAACGCATTTAATTTTGTAAAATGCTGCTTTTGCTTGAGCTATTCTACATTTAACATCTTTAATACATCGTCCATCTGATGTTATCAGGATACCCAAGTGCTTCAACGTATATACTTGCCATAGTAGCTTCAACAACATATATTTAAATCTTTCAGTACCAAGTAAATGAACTCAGTTAAAATTTTGGCAGCACCATGTTCAAGATATGCCCGTACAAGTGACCTTGTACTTTGATGTACTAAAACATTGGCACTTACCACATCGCCTTGTCTAGACGTATTGTCCCATTGTCTCAAGCGGCTGTACACATCTCGCAAGCCAAGCTCAGGACACGAAAACACCAGTTTCGCTGGCTTTTTCAGAAATTTAGTAATCCAATTCTCGGCCTCCTGTCCACAGTGAGCAACCGGAATTGTTTGCTCGTAATATCTGCAAAATAAAGTTCGCGTAAAACAGTGTTCTAGTTCCTTTTAAGAAAATAAAATCTCAACCACGTTCAACCAAAATAGTGCGTGAAGAGCTGTACTAATACGAGGGCTATTCCAAAATGAACCTCAGATTGACTGGTTAAAAAAAAAAATTGCTCACTACATACCAACTTACAGTTGCATTTGTTCGGTGGTTCACAAATTGCGAACGAATAAAAATGGGCACCATTTATATTGACACAAATTGCCACAATTCGAATGAAGATCACCCGGGGACAGGTCCCAGAAATCCCGTTGCCTCAGAAACCCCGTTCAACAATTAAGTTAGATAAGTTCCCCCGACAACAGCCGGAGTAGGGCTTTATAAGAAGGAAAAATTGCGTCCCGTATTATGAATTCCCTACGTCCTTCTTAGGACGTTATTTATTTTTTGAAGCCCCACTCTGGCTTTTGCCAGGGGCCGCAATATAGGCAGGCCATCAATGTGGCCAATCGTCTGAACGCGGTTTCTGGGACCTCTCCACGGTGATCCTCATCCGCATGGTGGCACTTTGTGTCATCGGGTGTTTGTCGCTTGTGTGATGTCCTGGTGGGGTAGAAAGTCAGTCAGTCAGTCAGTCCCGTATAAGGCCGTTTGTTGTAATTATTTCTTTTTATCGGTCTATAGTTCGTTCGTTCCTTCTCTACCACTGATTTTCATAATCTTCACAATGTTTTCAATATCTACTATTCTTAATTCAGGAATAAAGAACGGGTACATTTTTTGGGGGTATATCTATATGTTCTACTTTGATGAGCTTATCCAGGCAAGCGTTGTAAGCTACTAGACCGGTACAAAATACTCGCAATATTAGTCTCAGAAATCAACACATTCATTAATCCTGGTTGACAAACCAACAAGAGTTAATCCTAGGTACTGTACAGTCTCCATAAAAGTGGCGTTGCAAGGTCAGGCAATATCCAGTGCGTAAAATGTCCTGTCACCTCAGTGATATTGCTACCCCCCCCCCCCCACCCACCCCTCTCCCCGCCTTTTTTTTTCTTTTTAACACACAAAAACACATTCAGACATATTTTTAAATGTTTAAAACACACATTTTTGCCTCTGTGGTACTTCGCGCGGCCAGTACCCATAGCACGCAATAAGGCTACAACAAAGACTACCCGGTACATCCTACAGTCCTGTGCAGACTAGGATTCTCCATCTAAACCAGTTTTATTCATTTCGGCTAGCTGAATAAATAGAAGTGATAAACGTATGGCGTCACATTTTCTTACTTTTTGTAAAATATAACAGAATGATTCACATCCAGCTTCTGTGGGAGATCCAGACTGGGCATGCCTGGTGCTTGCAGTCTGATGTTCCCATTGAAGCTGAAAGGTTTGATCAGGGTCAGGGTAGGCTCTGTGTCCATGCTGATAACCCTGTCGTGCTCATCTAGAACCATCCAGTGTCTATCAGAATGTAAAACAAAGCAATGTAAATGTTTACGTTTCCCCGTGTTGGTTCTAGCGCACTATTTTGGGGAGAAAAACCAAAAGCTCACCGCCCCTTTAACAAGCATATCATTGCAGATAATTAGGGATTTGTTAAAAATAAAAGTTTCAGACTTTAGTTAGTTAGTTAGTTAGTTAGTTAGTTAGTTAGTTAGTTAGTTAGTTAGTTAGTTAGTTAGTTAGTTAGTTAGTTAGCTGGGTTATCATCATTGCACTCCGGGCATGTCCATAGGTGCTTAGATCCTCCCCTCAGTATGAACCCCAACGTCCAAAGGCTAATAGTACCAGTTCTATGTTGATTAACAAGTCTTCTGACGTGTCCGGTGTGCGTCTCGATTTTTGCTGTGCCGATCTTAATTCCCAAGTCTGCCATTCTGGCGAGTGATGTGGATTCACTGCCGCCAAAGTCCTCTATCCTTCCCATTTCTCTGAGGGCATTGATAATATCAGCATGATCCATAGGCCGAACGTCGGTCATCGGACGTTGAATACACCCTGAGGGAAGTCTGAACTCACGTGCATGTACTCCATTGCACGGTTCAGACCCCATTCCGATTAAACTTACACATTTTACGTGAGCGAAAATAGTTAATTTGCGCCATTGGCCTCAACGGACGAAAAAGCGTGCCGCAATTGTGGCTGTTTACACCGGAAGTTTCAGACTGTCATTGACATATACATTGTTTTGAGAATTAATTAGCAATAATTAAGTGATACAAGTGCAAAGTAGAGGGAGTAAGAGGGTACATCATAATCGTTAATCAGGAGTAAAAGGGAAGAAGTAATATAGTTCAGTGGATCAATAACTGAGGAAAAGACAGAGGCACTGGACAGAACATAGACAGAGAAAACATGATAACGAGAAACTGGAATGCCCTTTAACTGAAACCCACTGTTATACAGAAATAGATTAAACATCACGAAATTCAACCCTCTCACATTAAACTATACTTCATTTGTCAGTTTGAAATAATAAAACTTACCGTATTTATATAATGTGGACAAAACTTATTCTTTCTTCTCCTTTTCTAATTATTCCCTGCCGCTGATGCCTTAAAATTTCGCAGAGCGGAGTTTCCCGTTCTTTGCTAGCCTCGTATCTTGCGCCAATGTAATTTTGCGTTTCTGTAGTTTCTTTTATCCCCTCCACCCAGGTCTTTCTTTGTCATCCTCTTGATCTCAAGTAGCACGCTCTAGATGCTGGCTGATTTTGTTCAGTTCTGACCAGATGACCAAACCATTTGATTCTATGATCTTCGATGAAATCATTTACCGTCACTGTGCCTACAATGGAAGTAAGTAAGTAGAGCGAGTGGAAGACCTAGGAAAATATGGAGTGATGGCATTAAGAACAGCCTTATAAAACTGAACATCAGTCTTAATAGTGCTCCTAACAGAGCTCATGAACGAATGTTACATCTCCCCACGACACTTCGATGAGGTACAAGTTGGAAGAGAAGAAGAAGAAGAAGTGGAAACGATTCCTTTTCTTTGTTTGAGTCGGGTGAGGGATATATTGTTTGTGTCAAGATTATTACAATTTACTACTTGGAAAAAATATTGCGAAAACGTGTAATTTGATTAATGTGCCCAACCTGTCTGTTAGCCCATCTGATTGCAAACCAACAGCAGTACACTCTGCATCAGGTGTCTCCAGAACTCCACATGATTTGACTGGATAGATGTACAGATGGGCAACAGTACCCACCTGGAAAAGAAGGAGACAGATGTATGCATGGATCAGTCGGACAGTTTACTTTGATTTGTGTATTTGTCACAGGGCACAACTTATTGACTATGTGAGTATTTGCAATAAGCCTATGACAATGGAAATCATGCCAAAATCTGATGTTTTTATACGTGGAAGGGCAGGGTGTGGTGAATGAGTAGGAGGAGAATAAGAAGCAGAATTAACTATGTGCCTCTTCGTTCTTGTTATTGATCTTGTTTTTCGCGTTCTTCTTCTTTTTCTTCTTCTTCTTCTTCTTCTTCTTCTTCTAGTGTAAATTTGCGCCGCAGTAATCTTATACTATAATAACATTTCTCAGTATTTAGTCATCGAATGCTGAGGTGACTAGGACACATCGGAAGCTGATAGCATCCATGAGAACATCCTCTCTGGTGAAGTATAGATGGTTAAAATATGTCGCCATCAGCCTCTACTGCGATTAAACATGAATGCAAACAGGACATGAACGATACAGGTATTTACAAAGATTTGCGGGAACAAGAAGCAATGTATTAATACGGTTTAGAGGGGAAATTAGGCAGTGAATAGGGACCAAATATGAACGGACTGCAGACAGGTTCAGAGCAGAGCGTCTGAGATAAAACATGTTAAACGCACGTGAATGCAACGATGGTTCTGACATCTCAGGCCATTTTTGTAGAAGATTCTTCACAATGCGATCTAAGAGACCACCTTTAACCATGCATAGTTTTCTTTCAAAGTATTTGTTTACACATTTTATATCATTTCAATTATTTTATAATATTTATTTGCTATTCAGCACATTACTAATATTAATAAAAACAATCATGTGTTTGTATTTAAAATAATCTGAAATGTATGAATGAACAAAAACTTTAAAAGATAATTTATATACATGGTTCAAGAAAACCTCTAAGGCCTCTTAAAATTACTGGAGGAGGTGAAGTGCCCAGTCATAGGCAACAGGGACTTCCACTGGGTTGCCGGTAGACGACTTCGTCAGCGGTCATGGCAGCATTTAGGTCTGTCTCTCGTGATCGCATCAACACTGCAGAAGTCCTTTTCAGGGCTACTTGGTCGCGAGCAGTGCTTAGCCATTTTATATGACGCACATAAAGGTAGTCACAATTATAACCAAAACTCACCCCTTTTGGGGGATGCTGGTTGAACGTGGCGATTTTTTTTCCCGAACGAACGAACATTATTTTCAAAGGGTCACAAATTGAGCACTGGGGCCTGTTTTACATTCGGCCCTTCGTCTTTCACGCAGCAGTTGTATTTTATCGATAAAGCATGTTATATTCATATACTAATATGCTTACTGCGAATATAAAGGGAAAAAAACACACAAAAGCTTGGGTTGTAAAATGCATGCACACATTCGCGCACACACATACACACATACACCCACACAAACGCACACACACCCACATACACGCGCCTACCCCCAGGTGGTGAGGAGGGCGTGATTGGGAATATGTGAATATGGGGGGGGGGGGGGGTGATTAACCCTAGTTTTTTTTTTTTTATTATTATTTTAATTTTTTAGGTATTAGGTTGAGGGGTTGGGGGCGGTGCGTTAATTCTCAATCCGACCTCTAATCCCCCAGGTTTTTTATCGTGGCGGCGCCCCTGTTACGGACAGCGATTATTGGCCGTCTGCCTCTGTAGACGCCGAAGACTTATGTCCGACTCTACAGATCATCAGTATCATCAAGGTCCTTGTCGGCTTGCGCGGGCAATCATGCCTCGCCACAATCTGCGATCAGCAACAGCATGTTTCAGTTCCTGTGTCGACACACCTTGATGCCATAACAAAAGGCTGTCAAGAATCTTCGCATGCTGCCTTCCTGTGTTTCTTTTTCTACAGATTTTCCCAGTGGTTACACATGTTTTTTCCTTCTTCTCATATCATGACAAAATAACCAAAGCATGATGAGCGCCCGTTTCTGATGTTTGTGCCAACAGAGAAATGCCCCAAGGAAGACTGGTGTAACCTGCAGTCTGTGCGGGCAAGGACTGCAGAATGTTGACATAATCTATAAGTGTTTGGTAATGCTAACGCTAATTCAACAATAATCGTTAAAATTAATCTGTAGATACATTATTTTTATGTATACTCAGTGATTCAATGAGTATGATCCGGAGCGTTCAGGCAGGTTCAGTGCGAAGACAATGGCTTGAATCGTTACAGAAGTCCACTGTGCGTGGAGTCACCTTTATTTTTGTTCCGGGACACGCAGGCGTCGATGGAAATGAAAGAGCTGACAGGTTGGCTGGATCCGCTATCACTACCGACGGTCGGCCTATGGATCATGCTGATATTATCAATGCCCTCAGAGAAATGGGAAGGATAGAGGACTTTGGTGGCAGTGAATCCACATCACTCGCCAGAATGGCAGACTTGGGAATTAAGATCGGCACAGCAAAAAACGAGACGCACACCGGACACGTCAGAAGACTTGTTAATCAACATAGAACTGGTACTATTAGCCATCGGACGTTGGGGTTCATACTGAGGGGAGGATCTGAGCACCTATGGACATGTCCGGAGTGCAATGACGATAACCCAACTAACTAACTAACTAACTAATTATTTTTTCTGTTATATATCTTAGCAAGAATCTTCTTCTTTTTTCGTCTTTGCTGGTTGTAAACTCCGACTGAAAGTTCTGGCTGTTTGTCCACTTCTGGACTTCAGTCTTGTTCCAGCACTTGCGTTCTGCGTGTATATCAATTATATAGATCTGTATTATTTGTGCGTAGACTGTTGGTCCCTTGCCTCTCAGGCGTATTCACTCTAACTTTGAAGGAAAGCCTAGTCAACTCAAGCGACTTTCTTGTTAGGAAGGCAGTGGGTATATTTTCCTCCTCAACAGGGCACTGGAACCCCCACCAGGTGTGGTTTGCTTTACGGAAAAAAATCGCTAAGTTCATCCAGCATCCCCGAAGGGGGAGCATTAGGTTATAACTGTGACTAGGTTTTGTGCGCTTTTTAAAACGGCTTAGCATTGCTCGCCACCAAGTATCATTGAAAAGGACTCTTGCAGTGCTGATGCGATCAAAGGAGACAGACTCAAACATTGTCTCAAACGGCAAAAAGTCGTTTACCGGCGAGCCAATGGGCGACCCGGTCGCCGATGTACCCATACTAGGATTAGCAATAAAGAAAAAAATAACTGGATATTTACCTGTTGGAATCGGCTTTTATGACTACGACGCACCATGGCCATCCCGACCAGTTTGGCGAAAGCACCAAACACAACAGCGGACATAAGTTGAGCAGATGTGCCATCCACATCAGATAGAAGCTGAAGCATTTTACACCTTTGCTGGGGAGAGGGGATGGGGGGTGGAATAAAACACAACCAATCTGGGTAATCACGGCAATTTTTTTTTCAGGTCTAAAATTATTACCAAAATCTTTAAAAATGAATGTTGAATTAAGAATCACTTGTTCATCTCTCTGGATTTTGTTTACCACACCTGTAATTTTATTGAGAATTATTTTACAAAAACTATAGCAAAAGAGCTGCTACAGCTAGAGCTCGAGAAAAATATGCAGGAGCTAATAAGGAATTTATGAATAAGGGCAGAAAAAGCGAAATATTTAGATGAGATAGCACAATAAGCGAGACAGCAGCAGCAAAAGGAAACCTCAGAGACATTTATAGTAACACAAGGAAATTGGTAGGTAAATTTAGTCAGCCAACTAATGAAACAAAAATAGTCAAGGAAAGCTACACACCAACACTGAAGATAAATGGACAGATGAGCGGAGTATTTTTAAATACTTCTAAAGAGACCAGCCCCAGAGGTTGCTCTAGACATCTAGCCTTTAAAAATGGAACTGTATGTCAACTGTTAGAAAGAAGAAGAAGAAGAAGAAGAAGAAGAAGAAGAAGAAGAAGAAGAAGAAGAAGAAGAAGAAGAAGAAGAAGAAGAAGAAGAAGAAGAAGAAGAAGAAGAAGGAGGAGAAGGAGAAGAAGAAGAAGAAGAAGAAGAAGGAGGAGGAGAAGGAGAAGAAGAAGAAGAAGAAGAAGAAGAAGAAGAAAAAGAAGAAGAAGAAGAAGAAAAAGAAGAAGAAGAAGAAAAAGAAGAAGAAGAAGAAGAAGAAGAAGAAGAAGAAGAAGAAGAAGAAGAAGAAGAAGAAGAAGAAGAAGAAGAAGAAAAAGAAGAAGAAGAAGAAGAAGAAGAAGAAGAAGAAGAAGAAGAAGAAGAAGAAGAAGAAGAAGAAGAAGAAGAAGTAGGATAAAAAAAAGATGGTTACAAAAATGTCTAACATCACTGAGAACAGAGTAATTCCTTCCCAGTTTTCCTCCTTCTGCCTTCTATCCTCCAATGTGGCAAAGGGCCCCAACCGACTTACGCCAAGTCGTTCTATATTTCGCTACTGCAATCAGCTCTACCCATGAGCTTCCTATCTTTTCAACTGCACTCTATAGCTCCCTTTTCTGTGTTTTTCTTCCTTTATTTCTATGCCCGTGTGGGTTCCGGTGCAAAGACATTCTAGTTATATTGTCCTCGAGTTTTCTCAACGCGTGTCCTATGCAACGCCAGCGTATTTTCTTTACCTCGAAGCGACAAAAATTAAACGAAGCAATAGTTAACAATGCATAATCCACTCACCTGAGCTTACACTTCGAAAAATCCTTTGTGAATTACCAGTCAGTTTTCTCTTACAAATACTTCTAGATTTCGTTTTGCTGCATGTGAAATACCTACTGCACATACACAACTGGCCAATGTGTTTTCAGCGTAGTCAAAAAATTAGATTCAGATTACGGGGAGTATATAAACTGTCAGTTGTATACTAGCGTACACCGTGTGACTATGGCTGTGGCGCTGAAAGGGCAAAGTCTCTAGTGTGTGTTTACCGGGTCACGACACATGTTTTTCTCGTTCTTATCTCTTAGAATTTACCTTTCCAAAGTTCTTCAACTTTTTCACACACTCGGACCAGGAGTAAAAAAAAAAAGAAATATTTCGCGGACCTATTGACGACTAAGACAGAAAAAGAAAAAATAATGTAGATAACATTTTTCTTACTGAATTAAAGGAAAATAATTTCCAGCGTCAGCTACTGCGCCCCCCCCCCCCCCCCACCTTTTTTTTGTCCACGAAGAACGAAGCGCTGCAGTAACAGTAACATTATTCTATTTCTTCGTGTCGTTTCCACTGTAGCCACTATATGAATGTCCGACATGTTTGGCGTGCTGCTAGGAATTTTCACGTAGCGTTCCGTTCCCCGGAGGCTGAAGAACATTGCTCTATTCCAGCGATTCCAAACTATTTTGATTCGCAGAGCCTGTTCTGGAAACATAGTTTTGGCGGAACCTATTGCAATGTATTTCTTACAAGTGAACTGTTTAGAAGTAATGTTACGGAGCGACGGGAGATGGAGTAGATAGTATGGGAATTTAGATGTCTAGACCAGTATTCTTCAACCGTTAAGGTGCGGTCCATGGGTGAGCCGCGAAGAAGTCCAGGTAACTGCCAAAATGTCTGCCTAAAAGAAACTCGGTCTCTTGCCAGCTCTTCCGCCTCATGTACTTTCATATTCAAGAAAGAAGGGGGGAGGGGGTGTCAGCATTGTTTATGTTAATTAAAGTACAGGCTTGTTGAACCGGGGATCCACAAGTTGTTGAGTTCATTCTGTGATTCTGTGTTGACTTAGGGCAGGAGGTGTCAGCGCGGCCTGAGTCAATGTGTTGACCCTTTGTTGACTTAAGACTGGTGGGTTCAGGAGGTGTCAACAGGCCTGGGCAACTTGTCATACTTAGTTCGGTAAAACAAAAGATGTTTTTTTTTCCATTCTACATACCGGTACACACTAGCTCGCTTCTGATTGGTGACCTTCAGCCTACTTCACCTCTGACTGGTTGGCCATCCGACTTTCACACAAGGTCACGGGGCTGTTCCGCACTGCCGTTGATATCGCGTGTTAAATAATTTACTATGCTAGATCTTTTACCACTCCAAAAACATCGACAACTTGGTCTAACACACAACCTCTTTAGAGAGTGGCGAAACCTATGTCACAGGCAGTCTCTTTCTCTGATAATCACACCCGTAACCTCGACCATAGTAGACTAGTCAAACCAATTTGTCAATGGAAAGTTACCTACTTCCCGTGGGGAGACTAACGTTTGTTTAAATCTTAGTTCTTTCCCAGTAAGACTAGGGCGAATGTGTGGGGAAAATATGTGAAGAATGTATGAGTGTGGGTGGCTCCATGTAATACGAAGCACTCACAGAGAGCTCAGGGGTGTTGCTGCGTGGAAGATGCATGCTCTCAAAATTTTAATTTTGATTTATGTAGGACCAACACCTCAAATATTAGAATCAAAAGATGTCACATGGGCTGAAAATTATAATTTTGTTTCATAACATCAAACAGTCTGCTATCTACATTATTTTTTTTTTCTGTGTTGAGTTAACTGGCAGGTGGGCGGTGAAACAATTTCTTCTGTCTTGCTGGGCCACTAGCACAAAAACGGTTGAAGAACATTGGTCTAGACCAGTGATTCCCAAACTGTGCGCCTCCGCGCCACGGGGAGCCACGACCTCTTCACAGGGACGCCGCAAAATATTCCAAGATACACGAGTTTTTTTTTTTTTTTTTGATCATCTAACATACGAATAGTCATACTTTTACTTAGGTTAGGGCGCCGTGGAAAATTGTTAATTGAAAAAAGGCGCCGAGACTAAGAAACATTTGGGAAACACTGGTCTAGACAATAGTGCAAGCACTGAAGTAACATTTTAAAAACTTTGAATTCCCCAGAAAAGTAAATTTATTCTCAGCTACCTCCAATACTTACGATGTTGTCTAAACTTGATTATACATAAAAGACTTTCCACAGTTAAAAATCAAACCATAGGCAATACAGTATATTTTACACTGCTGATGAGAGCAGCAATATCGACCATACAATAATAAATACACGTTTATTGAAGCACCTATAGTCGCACTTTTTTAAAGTTCTCTTATTTCAAGTTTAACAGATTATAATTGCATGCGAATGGCTAGTTAATTTAAAAAAGTAATTTTTCCGGAAAAAAATATATAGGCTTACTCATTTCTTGTAAACGGCACAGAAACACTGACAATGAAGATGCAAATAAAAAAAAAAAAAAGATTTTAACTGCATATCTAAAGATGTTGACAGAAAAATGGGTCATGTTTCGTGGAAATCAAAATCTCTCATTGCAAAAAGCAGTTAACATTAACATATCCCCAGAAAACGCAAGATGAATAGAACAAATCAAGCTAGGGAACACCCTTCCCATAGAATATGGAGGACTTGCAAGAAGAACAGGAAGACGTGGCATGAGATTACTTAGGGCTAATGCTAATGTTTCACATGAGAAGGGAAAGAAGAGGACGAGAAGAACAAGAGGAATAAATTAATAATGAAGCATTTTTTTTTTTTTCCTAAAATAGTTTCAGACAAATGTCTACCTAACGAGAGTTAGCTGCGTATCCTTTACAGGACGTTGCAGAACCAACCCCAGTATTGTTTGTGTGTTGTGGTTTTTCAAGGCAAATTTAACGTTCAGTAGTTTGTCTTTGCTTACTAAACGGACAGCTCTGGGAAACCATTGTCAAAACTACGACATACTATTAGTTTGCCGTAAGTACATAGCAAAGGCAGACTCTTATTCTGCACACTAATCGATTTTTGTTTTTAATATCCAGAAACCATGAGTTCTTAACCTTTTGGCTCGGAACTATAGATATCGCAAAAATTCGGCCTTGATTCCATGAAAAATACCGTAAATCTGGGAGAAATATGTTTTTTCTGCCTACCCCGGGCGTGAACGCGGACCACAAGGAGTTCGTCACCCGGTCGTCGCGAAGTCAGGTTTAGCCAACTGTGCTAGCGAGCCGGGCGCACACTAATCGACAAGACTGTTGTTGTTTCAAAACGTGTTCTTAATTCTGGAAACTTATTGTAATCAAAAACAGCCGGCTCCAGCTTTTACATCGACTTCTGCCGGAGGTCTCGTAATAAACTAAAGGACTGGGTGGTATTAGTCACCAATGATCATATTTTAATGGTTAGGAGCGGCTGGCCGAACGGTGAGAACGCTGGGCTCTCATGTGGGAGACCCGGGTTCGAATCCTCGGTAAGGTTGGGGAAACTTTTTCTGTCGGGGCAAAAATAAAATCCTCACCTGCGCAGTCCGTGGCGACAGCACTAGCCATGCGGTCCTAAATCCTCAGACTCAAAGACTCCATTGCCTACACCGTTGAAGTGGTATAATAAAAGTAGTAATTGGCAGGTTTATATATTAGTCAATGGCTTAGAAGAGC